TTACGTGTAAGTATTCATTATTCAATGAGTTAAAAGAGTATACTCTAATATTCTCTTTCTCAAGGGTCATATTGGTTAATGTCTGCAAGTGTTTTCAATTAGGCTTTTTAAAAATCTGTTGAAAAGAATGTGGTAGGGCCATTGAAATATTGTGTATAATGCATATGCTCTCAGTAATATTTTATTTCAATTTTAGACTTTCCCTGCAGAGACTCGTACATGCATATGTGTACAACATCTGACATTTTGCATATCAAACTTAATAACTATGTTTTAAACATAAATTCCCAAACTATCTTTTAAAAAATACAAACAGTAAGATGTTTGAAATGCAAAATGCCACTACAACTCAAGATTCGAAGAATATAAAAGCCCCTAAATCAGGAACGTATGGTTGCCATAACAACTTGGCTACATTTCCATGAATTTTATGGCAGAAAAATGCCTAACATGTCTGATTTACAACTGCAAAAGGAACCACGGTGTTCATTTCCTGAATATTGGTCATGGCAAACTTTTTGTTTTAGTTATTTGGATTTGATAGGTATGTTCTCTAATTGGCTGTTTCTTGTTACATGCCTTATGTAATTAAAGCAAAAATTAATCTTTAAATATTTTAAGTTTTCCTTACCCTTGCTTTGTTATCTAAACTTGAGGAGAATTGCCTATAACAAGCTTCAAAAGAAATCAAGGCTTGCCAACCAGGAAAAAAAAAAAAAAGGATGTTTAAAAGTGCAGGCTGCTGACATTTTACAAATAGAAATGATAAGGGACACTGAAGTGGTTCTAGAAAGAGTACTGAAAGCTAAGTCAAAGTAGAACTGAATCAGGAGTTTCACTTCATCTCTGTATCCTAGTACTTCTGAGTTAAGTGATATAGCTTAAGGGGAACGTGACATTTGCGTAAAAACTTACTTATATACACATGCATGCATAGAAATCTAGAATTGTGGGATTAAAATGTAAAGCGTAAATTGTTTGGTTGGACAGTGTGCTCAGCGTGCCTGATTCTGCCTCCAGCTCACCTTCCTGCAGCTGCCTCAGGAATGCACCTGGAAATAGCCAGAAATAATTTTGACTTGTCAAGCTTTCTGTTCCTGTGTATATACAGATTTGGCATTTTTGCAGTGACAGTTCATTGACAACGAATACCCACCACATTGCTCAGTAATCTAATAATAATCAGATATGTCCTGTGTACTTAAAAGCAACCATCTTCATGAAAGTTAAAACATCTTAGCTTTCTTAGACATTAACAGTCATATTTGCTTTGACTTTTCAAAGGTCAAAACTACTTTTCATAGTTGAATGGAGTGAAGAAGGAGAGGCAAAAGATTTGTGTAAGATTTCCTGTTCACTGTTTCTCTCTCTCTCTCTCTCTCTCTCTCTCTCTCTCTCTCTTAAAACCTGATTATTAGCATGTGGCCTCTTCTAAAGGAAAAGATGGAAATAAAAGTTAGGGGAAATTTGAATCCCCCTAACCAGTGGTCAATTAGTGTGTCAACTAAGCTGTTGTTTTAAATCTCTTAAGTTACAAAAAAGTCCCCAGTCTGTCACAGAAATATACAATTATCTAAATTTTGAATGGGACAACAAGGAATTAGTTTAGAAAAATATGAGTCTCCAAAATTTTTAGTTTATCCCTCTTTTATATTGAGCTTCATCAAAACTTTTGACTATCTCACTAGGCATATTTTAGAAATCCAATGTAAACAAATTTTTTCTCCTGGAAGCTTCCTTTTTTCCTTTGTGATTCCCTATATGTATTTGTGGATGGTAACTAATAATACATGTTAGCTACCTTTATACACTTTACCAAAATTGCATATGCCCTGAAATAAATTGACAAAACAACCAGAACTTGAGCTATCTAAAACAATACTTTTTAAAACTCTCATATTGCATGATTTTGACAGAACCATAGTTTAATTCCTGGAAATGTTTTGTTTGTGGATGTTTGATAAAACTTCAGTCTGTGCTTGCATTATTAAACCACTCTTTTAGTTAGGTTAACTTTAAAATCACTACATAGGGAAGAATGCCAGCCTACGCATGCGGCAGATTACTCCCAAATTGTTTCACAAAATATATATGGTTCAGGTTAGTTACCAATAAAACAATTCTACAGCAATGTGAGCTAATGCTACCAGAAAAGAAAAAAAGCAAACAAACCTGTACAAGTAAAACACACTTACTGTTCCGATCCAGTCCAGTGTTACTGAAATGCCTGCCTCCATTTCTGGCTTGATTCATCGTGCTGTTGCTGCTGGGGTGTGCTGGAACAGGTTTAACCACATGTGAATAAAGGATTTCTGTGGCATCATTTTTAAAAGCCAAACAGCTTTTCATTAGGATGCATGCAAGGGGAAGGAGATAGAAATGAATGGCAGGAGGAAGCATGGTGAGTAGAGGATTTGCTTGGCTGAAGAGCTGGTTAATTCCTTTGCCTCTGCTTCTGCACTATATCTGTGAAATTCCTCCTCAAGCTTCCCTTTATATATCCACAGAGGTTTGGCGTTCATTCAGGTGTAAAGTTGTGTAGAGCTTCAGAGTGAAAACACAGAGAAGGGGTGGGATCCCTACATGACCCTGCAAAAGAATTTTACCAATGGAAAAGAAGACTGCAGAAAAGGAGGAGCTTGGTATACAAATTGCCTGAAATTTCAGAGTTGGGCTTCATCACTTGTCTGTGAGCCGACGCAGGCAGGCACATTCTATATCAACGACAGACTCTCCTCTGCCATTTCCTTTCCTGAGTCTAGTTAACATTCGGGTTTAATTTAAACGAAAATACATCGCTGTTCATTTGAAGAGACTGGCTTTCCCACAGTTCTATACTTCCCTCAGATTTTAGAGTATTTGCGTCAGGAAGGGAGTTCTTCCCAGGTAACAGGAGGAATTCGTGTGAGTTTAAATATTGTAGGACTTGCATGAAGCACCTAGTTAGCGAAACATTGCTTTCTCTCAAGAAGCAAACCAGTATTTTTTTTTTCCACAGAACTAAAACCTGCCCCCTGGACATGCTTAAATAATGCAGCTTTGATCTGCATGAACTACTGTGCTGCTAGGTAAATTATTGCCAGGGGTTCTGTGTGGAGAATAATGAGCATAGTTCTGTCTACATTAAAGTAAGTAATACTCATTTTCATCTTAAAAATGTGTCACAAGCATTAATATCCATAGCGCTGTTTTACATAAAACAAAGCCATTTGTGACAGACTGCTTAGTGAATCCAAAATAATTTTTTCTAGATTTTTTCAGAACACAGAATCTACTCATATTTACTAAATATTTTGCTCATTACTTCCTTTGACTCTGCTGCCCAAGTAAGAAACCTATTTTTCTGAATTACTTTACCTACACCCAGAACACGTGTTCCATTAATTAATTATAGGCCACTGATAATCCCTTTAAAACAGTCATAAAATTCTATTTCATGATGGGACATCTCAATTGGAATAACTATTCTGAATCACCTTTTCAATTATAAATCCATTTTTGTCCTTTGTGTGGCTACCTAAATCACCTAATTTTGTATCTCTTTTCTGTATAAGTTTTTGTCCATTGTAACTGCTATTCACCTATCTGTCTGTCTATCTATCTGTCTGCCTACCTGAATTTCTCCATAGAAGCACTACGGACATTTTGCAAGAGACAGTTCTTTATTATTGGGGAACTGTCCTGTGTGTTCATCATCTTCCCTGGCTTCTACCAACTAGACGCCAGTAGCACCCCCTAGTTGGTAACAAAAATATCTCCAAACATTGCCAGATGACCCCTATGGGGTAAAATCACCCCCAATTTAACCACTAATTATCTATCATCTATCTCACTACAAAAGAAAGTAAAAATAAGAATAAAGGAAAAGTATTATAATACCAATAAATTATTGTTCTTTTTTAGGACAGAAATTGTACTGTAGTTTTGATTTAAAACAATTACTGCTTCTCTATCAGAGGTATATACTGGAATATCCTTAGATGAAATGATTTTATATACTCTTTTACATTATATGGAATAAGCTAGAATAAGCTTCAAAAACAATATGAGGAAGTTAGAGGTGTGAGTGGCAAAAGATTAATTATAAGTTGATGGTTGTTAGAGCAGCATGGTAAAGTATTATATTCTGTTTATTCTTGTGTATGTTCCAAATTGTACATAATAAAAAGTTTAAAAACCAGAGTCAGACAATCAATTTAATGGACATATACTCCCTACTAACAATATATCTCTATCCTATGATTGGATAAATAGTCATTTATTCTAACATCCTTCCTGGAAAATCATATGTCAGTTTATTTTGTGCAAATGGAGATTACAGGCATCCTTCTAAAACACTAACTATGAAGAATTTCTGTCCTACTTACCAAGGGACTTGATGTTAATTACACAAAGCATGTTAATATTAATCATTGACCTACAGACCCAATGCCTAAAGGAAATTAAAAGGTCAAAATAATCTAATCTGTTCCTCACTGCTCTTTCTTTTTTGTGTGTCACGAGCAGGGGATATTTTAATTGGAATTTAATTATCAGGTTGGGCTAATGAGGTTGACCAAACTCATGCACAGTTATTAAATCTGCTGCACCTAGTATTTTGTAGGCTGAACCTTAGGATATCACCTCAGGCAGAAGCAAAATTAGAAGAGAAGGCAATGTCGTTGTGCATGTGGACAGGACAAACTCAGAGTTCTTGGACCCAATTTACCTGACAGACCTCTAGAGAACTACTTTGAGGCTGGGTGCAGTGGCTTCTGCCTGTAATTGCGCACTCTAAGAAGCCAAGACAGGAGGATCGCTTGAGCACAGGAATTCGAGACCAGCCTAGACAACATAGTAAGACCTTGTCTCTGCAAAAATATAACAAAAACTAGCTGAGCATGGTGATTCATGCCTGTAGTCCCAGCTACTCAGGAGGCTGAGGCAAGAGAAACACTTGAGCCTGGGGTGTTGAGGCTGCAGTGAGCTGTGATAGCACTGCAACACTCTAGCCTGGGCAAGAGTGAGACCCTGTCTCAAAATAAATCAATAAATAAAAAGAAAGAAAACTACTTTGCTAAAATAGAAATAATCATAAATTTAATACTTAACAGTTATTCTGATCAGTTTAAAAGAGCTCCATTAAAAATAACCACAAACTATTGCTTCTCGGCCTTTTGGCTAAGATCAAGTGAAGGATAACCACAAACTATAATAACCCGAGAAGAATGAATATAGATATTTAATATTGAAATTGATTCTTTCTCATCTTCAGGCATTAGTATGTACCTGTTATTCCCTTTGCTTATAACACTCTTCCCTCACCCTCTTCCTTGACTAATCACCTACTTTTCCTTCCAGTCTCAGTTTAGACGGCACTAGCACTGAGAAAACTCGCCTTGGCCTCTCTTCCCTCTATCTGCTCGTCTCAATCCAGCATACATGTGTCAGAGCAGCTAGTTACCTGATGACTTGGCAAGACCTATGAAAGAAGAACCATTTCTATCTCATGGGTATTGTGGAATAAGTGGTTAAATTAAGTATTTAAGAAATATAGAAAAAATATTCTTTCATTAAAAAGAGATTGGCTAGTATTTGTGGTAGGCAGTCGCTAAGATGGCTCCTAATAATCCCCTTCTCATGATATTCACATCCTTGTAGCAATCCCCTTTTCTTCAGTGTGGAAAGAACTTAGTGATTAACTTCTAATTAGTATAACATACTAACGTGATGAGATGTGGCTTCTATGATTAGGTTTTCAAAAAACTGTGACTTCCGTCTTTCTGGCTACTCTCACTCTCTTGCTTGCTTTGGTGGAAGCCAGCTACCATAATGTGTACTTCCCCATAGGAAGGTCCATGTAACAAGGAACTGATGCCTGTGACCGACAAGGAACTGAATGAGGCCCTCAGCCAAACAGTTGAGAATTCCATCAACAATGACATGGGTGAGCCTAGAAGCAAATCCTCTCACAGGCAGATGAGGCTGCAGCCCTGGTCTACAACCTGAATGCAAACTTTAGGAGAGACATCCAACCAGAGGCACCCACAAGAACTATGAGATAATAAATGTTTGTTGTTTTAACTAAGTTTTGGGATAATTTGTTACATAACATAATCAGTACAATGTTATTTGTAATTACGTCATTTTGTGAATAATGCTAGGGCCTTGAGAGCATCAGATGTGGAATCATTAGACACAGTGACTGTGCATCTTGCACTCTTTGGGAGAGTGTTAAGACTTATTTTCTGTTCTCAGCTGTGCATCATTGCAAGAAAAATAAAATAAAAATAGAAAATTTTGTTAAAGATTTATTTTATAGACCTCAGCTGAGCCATCACTGTGGTGGCATTATTAACAATCAAATAATGGTATTAGAATTACTACTAGCAGTTTGATTTATAAAAGCCGGAAACCAATTATGATTTTCTAAATAGTATCATTTATCATATGACTTGGAAATTGAATTTGAAAATCTGAATTTGGATCTGAAATTGAATCTTAGTTCTACCATTTACAATATGTATGAACTTGGATATACAGTTGACCCTTCAACAACACAGGTTTGAACTGTGAGGATCCACTTATACCTGGATTTTCTTCCACTTCTGCCACCCCTGAGACAGCAAGACCAACCCTTCCTCTTATTCCTACTTATCAGCCTACTCACTGTGAAGACAGTGGAGATGAAGACATGTCTTATGATGATCCATTTCCACTTAATGAAGAATAAATGTATTTTCTCTTTCTTACAATTTTCTTAATAACATTTTCTTTTGTCTAGCTTACTTTAAGAATAGAGTATATTATATATATATAACTTACAAAATATGTGTTAATCAACGTTTATGTTATTGGTAAGACTTCCAGTTGACAGTACACTATTAGTAGTTAAGTTTCGGGGGAGTGAGAAGTTATATGTGAATTCTCAACTGTCCAGGGGTCAGCTCCCTAACTTCTGTATTGTTCAAGTCGGTTATACTTTCTGAAACTCTCTTAGTCAGTTTCTTCATCTACAAAACATGACCACACTTACCTACCTCACAGAGGAACAAAAATATATGAAAATGTCTAACACAAAACCTGGCACAGAAGAAATGTGGAAAAAATAGCCATTTAATATGAATCTAGGAGCACAGTTTTATATTATAGTCTTCAAATTATAAACATGAGTTTGGAAAGACTAGAGACGTCTGAACAAAAATATGATTACCCTATTTAAGGTAAAGAACAAAAAGCTGAGAGAAGGGAGATTTGTTTACGCCAAAAAGTAAGAGATAATAGATAAATGTCATTAGGCTTAAAAAAATTAGTCCAATCAATTGTTTCTAATTTTTAACAGGTGATGCATCAGAATACAACAGCACCCTTTATCTCCAGGGCATGCGTTCCAACACCTCCAGTGAAAGCCTGAAACCAGTTCTGAACCTGACTGGCATCATTTGGAACACATTTCTGTTCATCTCTCCCATCCAGAAATTTAATGCCTTTTCCATCTTAACTAAGCGTTTATCATGTACTGTGGCTGTCACTTGTGCGGTTTGAAGGGCCACAGCAAAACTAGCAGGAATTTTTTTTCTTCTTTCATGGATTGAAGGTTCTTTCTTACCATAGATCTTAGCAAACTCAGCATACGATTTTTTTTTTTCTTTCTCTATTAAGTCAAAAACTTTCACCTTTTCACTTACAGGAAACACTTTACGACTTCTCTTTGGCAAACCCGAATTGCCAGCATCACTACTCTTGCGCTTTGGGGCACCTATGAAGTAAAATAAGAGTTCATTGAGCACACAGCACTTTGATGCACAACAGGCGATCTGATAACCTAGATGGTCAGTAAGTGACTAATAGCACTACTCAGAACGGTGTGGAGTTTCAAACTTATCAATTGTTTATTTCTGGAATTTTCCCTTTAGTGAAACCAAGGAAAGCAAAATCACCGATAAAGGGAATTTCCATATATATAAACAAAAAACATTTACTGAATACAAGAATAAACTATTACTTCTCCTCTCTGGCTTAAAACTATTCTGAGCATTCCCCTTAAGAGAATAGCACCTGTTAAATGGAAAAGTGATTAGCTATTATAAGTTTAGAAAAAACGCAAAAACTACCATAGAATCTTTATTCATAAAAATCCTTAAAACGAGAATGGACTAATGACTTTCATTCATTTCATATTCGTGTATATTGTGCCCAGTCTTTTTAAAGATGGTGTCATCCAGGCAAAGCTGAATGAGACATGAAGCCTACCCTCTCTTCCTGTTCCAGAAAGTTCCTGGTTAGAATTTTACTAAAGGCACTCCCCTTAACCTACTCTTCCTGTACAATTTTCTTTCTTTCTCCCTCATCACCTTCATTAGTTGTCTCTTTATTTGTATTTTGTTTGAATGCTTGCTAGTCTTATTTGTTGAATATAATGTTTCCTTTATTATAAACCACCTCACCATGAATAACATTAATTTAGAGAACCCAGCTTACAATGCCCTGTGTAACCTGATATAAAACCCAAGTGAATCTCAAATCCAATAGATGGAGATCTAGATAGGGTTCCTCCAGTCTCCACACTATTGACCTTTGGGCTGGAAAGTTCTGTTGTGGGCGATGTTTAGCAGCATCCCTGGGCTGTACTCACTAGATGCCAACAGCACCTCCCCAACCCAGAAACTTCACAAGCAAGCGCTAGGGAGTAGGTGAGGACAGGAGGGACAGGGCTTCCATCCGATTGCACAAACTAGCGCCAGTAGGAAGTTGTCCTTTTTACTTCAATTTATTACATTATGCAATAGGAATCAATGCCCTCATTCTGTGCGTTCAGTCCAACAGTCCCTGAACTAAATCTGACAAAGGCTGGCAGCATATTAAATATCCTGCCCCCAGTGGTGAATGCAGATTGGAATTAGTTTCGTTCCACCAGGCTAATAGTTGGTCTAAAACAATGTTTCTCCTGAGAGCCTGTTAGATATGCAAATTCTGGGCCTGACCTCAGACATGAGTCAGAATCCCTTGGGCTAGAGCCCAGGAAACTGTATTTTAACAAGCTTTCCAAGTGGTTCTTAAGCATGCTAAAGTTTGAAGTAAACTGTTATAGGATATACACATGCCCTCATAACTGTAGCCTAGACTCATGATCTCCATGAGGATTGCCTAGTCTATTTAACTGGGCCTGTGCTCCAAATACTTCCAGTTTGCAGAATCAAAGGGAAGTCCTGCCCTGAAGCTCCACCCGCGAGGCCCAAACCCTAAGCTGTTTGCTTCTGCTATATTTATTTCTCCCTAGGGACTGGATACTCTCAGTGTCCCTCAGTGCTGATTAATGCTTTGTTTCACAGAAACGGACACAGAGAACCATAAAAATTACTACCTACAGTAGTACTATCACTCATTAGAAATTCTGGAAGCCACTTCTGATTTGTTCAGAGATCAGCGTTGACCCAGATTTAGGTAAAATACTTGGATCGTTGTGATTTTTATTATTGTCCACCAGACTTAATGACATCCCACAGTCAAATTGGGCTGCTAGCCCTGGCCACATGCAGTGTTGCTTCACTTTTCCCTGAGGGGTCCCTTATTCAAGTACCAGCAGACTTCATGGCAAGGCCTAAGTCAGTTATGATCTTACATCACTGGTAGAGACTTGGGCTTAGAGACTTTACAGTGTGAAGTTCCCTGGTGTGTCAGGATGTTGGAGAATCCAAGAGTTTAGTAGGATTTGGCCCAACAATGCCATAGTCTTTCCTGGAAAAAAAAAAAAAGTCCTTGCAGAAATTTCCAATTTCAATTTTCATTTTTTTAAATAAAATAATTTGCTTCCAAGTTATATACAGGTGGAATCTGTGGTGTAGGGCAGGGGTCACCAACCCTCAGGCTACAGACCAGTATTGATCCATGGCCTGTTAGGAACTGCACCACACAGCAGGAGGTGAGCAGCTGGGGAGTGAGCATGACCCCCTGAGCACCTCCTCGTGTCACATCAGCGGCGCATTAGATTCTCATAGGAGCGCAAACCCTATATAGTGTGAACTGCACGTGTGGGGGATCTAGGTTGCATGTTCCTTATGAGACTCTAAGGAAGGCTTGATGATCTGAGGTGGAAGAGTTTCATCTTGAAACCATCCCCATCCCCGGCCCCATCCATGGAAAAATCATCTTCCAAAATAGGGCCATGGTGCCAAAAAGGTTGGGGACTGCTGGCGTACGGGGTTTCACAGCAATAGCATAGCTGGAGTGAGGGGGTCAGCATTGGGAAGGAAGGAAATTTGACTCCATTGATTGGAAAGTTAGGTTGGAACAGATTATTGACTACAATTTGCTTTGCATTTGAGAAGTTTGGACATTCTTTGTTAGACAATGGAGAGCTATTGAAGGATGTATATGTGTGGATGTGTGTGTTTATTTTTCTTCTCCCAAAGGGAAAGCAGAGTGTAGCCTCCACCCAGGTCAAGTGATAGAAAATTTCCAATATCAGCTGAGCGCAGTGGCTCACACCTGTAATCCCAGCACTTTGGGAGGCTGTGGCAAGCGGATCACCTGAGGTTAGGAGTTCGAGACCAGCCTGGCCAATGTGATGAAATCCTGTCTCTACTAAAATACAAAATTAGCCAGGCTTGGTGGTGCATGCCTGTAATCACAGCTACTCAAGAGGCTAAGGCAGGAGAATTGCTTGAACCCAGGAGGCGGAGGTTGCAGTGAGCCAAGATCACATCACTGCACTCCAGCCTGGGGAGACAGAGCAAGACTCCATCTCGAAAAACAAAAAGAAAAGAAAATTTCCAATATCCAGAAGTTCCTCTCCTGTCCTATTCTAGAAACTACTTCCTGTCTTCTCCCTAAAATAAACTACTCTCCTGATTTCTGACACCAGTTATTACTTTTGACTGTTTTAGAAACTGATGTAAAAAAGCTGACTTTTTTTCACTGTTGTGTAGTATTGCACTGCATGAACACCCCACAATTTATTCATCCAGTCTACTAGATTGGATTGATGCCAATTGAGGCTACTATGAATAATGCTCCCATAAACGCTCCTGTACCTTTCTTTTATGTATATGGTCATACATTTTTGTTTGATATATATCTAACTGTGAAATGGATGCAATATAGGGTGTGTGTGTGTTCAGCTTTAGGAGATAATGCCAAAGAGTTTTCCAAAGTTATTTTAATAATTGAAATTTCCTCTAGCCTTGACAGATTTGAAACAGGGACAATATCAACACTATGTTTTGGGATGCTGAATCCAGCTGCAACGTGTAAGATGGTTTAGGTGTGGTTATATTAGAACACAGGGAGGGGAAACATTATTGTGAGAGCCCAGGTGAAAAAGAATATAATCTTGAACTTGAAGGAGAGAGGAAAGGCTAGGACAGAGATTAGAGATACTGTGGAGTTTAGGTTGGTAGGTAATTGGAGAGGGAGTCCTAAGTGAAAATGATGTTTTAAACCTGAGTGAATGGGAGACTAGTGTCAGGAGAAAGGTGTCTGGGACAATAATGAGTGTGGGCTGAGTTAAGATGAAGTTAGTTTGCTGATGGGAATCTAAGGGAAGGTGTCTAAGAGACAACTAGAAACTGTATTAGTCTGTTTTCATGCTGCTGATAAAGCTATACCCAAGACTGGGCAATTTACAAAAGAAAGAGGTTTAATTGGATTTACACGTGGCTGGGGAAGCCTCACAATCATGGTGGAAAGCAAGGAAGAGCAAGCCACCTCTTACTTGGATGGCAGCAGGCAAAGAGAGAGAGCTTGTGCAGGGGAATTCCTCTTTTTAAAAACATCAGATCTCGCAAGACTTATTCACTATCACAAGAACAGCACAGGAAAGACTTGCCCCGTAATTCAGTTACCTCCCACTGGGTACCTCCTACAACATGTGGGAATTCAAGATGAGATGTGGATGGGGCACAGTCAAACCATATCAAAACAGAGCTCAAGAATTTGTCCAGGATGGGGAGAGCATTAGGGAAAATCCCTAACGGATGCTGGGTTGGTAGGTGCAGCAGACCACCATGGCACATGTTTACCTACGTAACAAACCTGCACATCTTGCACAGGTACCCCAGAATGTAAAGAAAAGAATCTGTCCAGCTACTGAAGCAATTTCATGAGGATGTTTTTCTACAACATTATTATGATAGACCTTGGTTTAGAAACCTATTAAACTGGTTTAAGACTTTCCTTTATATATCTACAGTCACCTAATCATGCTCCTAGATTTTAAAATTTCACTCCCTATGTTCAGTAATTCTCAAGTAGGATGAACTATTGTGTAGATGTATTCGTACAGGCTTATAAAATGTATACCCAGTGGCTCACATCTGTAATCCCAGCACTTTGGGAGGCCAAGGGGGGGGTGGATTACTTGAGGTCAGGAGTTTGAGACTAGCCTGGCCAACATAGTGAAACCCCATCTCTACTAAAAATACAAAAATTAGCAAGGCATGGTGGCGTGTGCCTATGAACCCAGCTACTCGGTAGGCTAAGACACGAGAATCACTTGAACCTAGGAGGCTGAGACTGCAATGAGCCAAGATCACGCCACTGTACTCCAGCCTGGGCGACAGAGTGAGACTCCATCAAAAAAAGAAAGAAAGACAGAGAGAAAGAGAAAATGCCCATTTGAAATGACGTTCTTTTATCTTGACACAGTTACCTGTGGAATTTTTGGGTATCCATTCTTTTATTTAAAAAAGAATTTCAACAAAAGTAAACCATACCTTTACTAGACTCTCAAGTTGTTAGTTTTGTTGTTGTTGTTTGTTTGTTTGAGACAGGGTCTCATTCTGTTACCCAGACTGGAATGCAGTGGCACAGTCTTGGTTCACTGCAACCTCTACCTCCTAGATTCAAGCGATTCTCATGCCTCAGCCTCCTAGTAGTTGGGATTCCAGGCTTACGCTACCACACCCAGCTAATTTTTCTATTTTTAGTAGAGACGGGATTTCCCATGTTGGCCAGGCTGGTTTCGAAGTCCTGATGTCAAGTGATCTTCCCACCTTGGCCTCCCAGAGTGCGGGGGGATTACAGGCGTGAGCCACCGCGCCAGGCTTGTCAGATTTATTATATCACTTTGATCACTTTGTTTTCACACTGGCATCAAGCAATGTCTGAAATACATATGAAGAGACAAGATTTAATAATTTATTATGAAGAGTAAAAAATGCTTTATGAAGAAGTAATGCCTGCATTAAGACTCTTACTTTTATGTTTGTCCTTGCTTTTACTTTTAATTGATACTTTTACAATCTTTATTGAGGGATTTAACCTTGTTTAAAGTTGGCAAAAGATTAACTCAATTACAAATCTCATGGAAACAATTTAACCATTATTCTCTAATTTAGAGGCATTGATTAAAATTGTTTTCAACAAGGAAAGACAAAGAGGATCCTAAAAGTGTCTTATAGCCTAGAACTTTATGATGTCAACTCACACTTCATATTGTCTTTCGAACCTCCAGCATGTTTATATAGCACTTGGGGGCTGTCGGTCCGCCAGTGCTGGGGAAGCCAGGCTTCTCTGACAAACAGCCAAAGAACTTGAAACAGACTGTAGAAAGTCCACTCCTGCCAGGACTATGCAAGCTGTTTAGTGACCATCTAACTGTTCTGCTAGTTTTGTTGCCATACTTGGTAGTCCCAGGAATCTGGCTGGCTTCAGAAGTTAAGCAAAACAAAATACAACTGCGCACAGCCACACCCGAGGGTGACTCTGTCTCCAAATACCATACACGTCAATGGCTGAAGCACTTGAAAGGCTTGTATCCCTGCAGATGAAATCTTTGTAAGATTGAGTCTTTAAAGACAACCCTTAAGCACATAAATATTGTCATTTACAGCACCGTTTCAGTGCTATTTTGCCTTTCCAATTATAAAGGTGGCTAATGCACATGATAATTACAGTTCCTTAAAATTTATTCGCTCTTGAGCAGATCAGCTCAGAAATGTTGGCACAGTTTCAGGGTTCCTGCTTGCCAAACACCCTTTGATCCAGTGAAATCATCGTATGATTCAAAACAAGGCCTACAGCCTTTCAATAATTTACATCTTAAATCCTCATCTTCGTCGCTAACCCCCCCGTGTTCGATCTAAAATCAGTTTCCCTTATCAGTGACAAAGAAATAAGGTTTTTCCCTGTGGGAGTCATAATATGCTTTCTTTTTTTCTCTTCATTTACTCATCATTTGAACTAACTTACATTGAGTGCTTCTTATGTACTAGAGACTGTGACCTGCCCTGCAGTTATGGAACTAAACTACCTCCCCTAAACTGCATAAGGCACAGACAGTCAGTTAAGCAGATAATTGCTTTGTAGTGCTTTAAGTAAGAGCAGGGTCGAAGGAAAACAGAGGTAGGACCCAAAGCCTTTTGGTGAGGGCCAAAAAGATTCCAAGTAGAGGTGAATGCTGAGCAGAACATTGAGGATAATAGCAGCAGGCAGATGACAAAAGCAAGTAAGTTGGGTGTTCGAGAGACAGAAGAAATAGTAGGTGCACCCAGATCTGGCAGTGAGAGGAAACGTGACCAGTTTTAGAGAAAATTAAAAATGCTTTGCTTGTCTTGAAAGACCTCCATGGAGTAGCTAGAAAAGATGAGGAATGGATAAGCACACCAAGATTTTAAATCACCATGTTTTGCCCTCCAAAGAAGTTTGAATTTTATTCTAAAGTCAGTGTGGTCCCTTAGAAGAATTTTGAGCAAAGATGTGACATGACCAGTTTGGGGTCTTAAATAGATAACTCTGAGGAACTGTAGAAGAAAGTTAAAGACAAAATATTTAACATAGAATGACCACGTTTCAATTCACATTATGGAGCACTGAGAAGCT